TCTGAATACCTGTTTCCCTCTCCAAGTTAGGGAAGTTCTCAGCTGTGATTTTTCAAATACACTTCCTGGACCTCTGTCCCTTTTGGCACCCTCTGGAACCCGAATTAAACGTAGATTTTTCCTTCTAAGGCTGTCATTTATTTCCCTTAACCTATCCTCATGATCTTTTTTTTTCCCCTCAGCTTCCTTCCTTGCCATCAACCTGTCTTCTATGTCACTCACTCATTTTTCTACCTCATTAACCACTGTCATTAGGACCTCCAGTTTGGATTGCATCTCATTTAATTGATTTTATTTTTTTTTAAGATTTTATTTATGAGAGAGAGAGAGAGAGAGAAGCAGCTCCATGCAGGGAGCCCGACGTGGGGCTCGATCCTGGGTCTCCAGAATCCGGCCCTGGGCTGAAGGCGGCGTTAAACCCGAGCCACCTGGGCTGCCCATTTAATTGATTTTTAATTTCGGCCTGATGAGATCGAAATTCTGCAGTCATGAAGTCTCTTGAATCCTTTATACTTTTTTCTAGAGCCACCAGTAGCTTTATAATCGTGCTTCTGAATTGGCTTTCTGACATCGAATTATAATCCAAATTTTGTAACTCTGTGCGAGAGAGGACTGTTTCTGATTCTTCAGTGGTGAGTTTTCCTTCTAGTCATTTTGCTCAGTGTAGAGTGGCCAAAAAGAAGTTGTACTGGAAAAAGGAGAGAGAAGCAAAAAAGGGGGGCGGGGCAAAACAAACAATACAAATAACAAGGGGGAGTATCCTCTGATTCTGTATACTGTAAATCCCTCGACTTCCCCTGGAACTTTCCAGCACTGCTTGGTCAGCAACTTGTTTTTCCCCTGTCCTTCCAGCTGGTCTTCTGTGGGGGGGGGCCTGCTTCTCCCAGCAGTGCTGATTCTCAGGTGTGTGCACCTGAGGCTGCTGCTCAGCCCCTGCCAGGTGCACAGTTCAGTGGGAGCTGTTTATCCTATGAGGCCCGTGCTCAGTCCCAGGTACAAGGTGACACCAGGAGAACAACAGTGGCTGCGGCCAGCTCTTCAGCCCTGGTCCGCAGGGGCCTGGATGCTCCGGGGGGCGGGGGGCGCCTGACAGCAGGAGCGTCCTTGCTGCCCTGTGTCCTCCCCGTCTCCGCCTGTCCCGGGAGGAGCGCCGGATCCTGGCCTGTGACCCCTGCGCCCTGGGCTCCGGGGCCTGTGCCGCTGGAACTGTGCTCCTGGCCGCGCAGTGGCCACCGCCTGAGCTGCTGCCCAAGCTGCTCCCGGGGCCCCTCTGGGCGAGCTGCAGCACTTTAGAGAGCTCCACCGTGGTGTGTGGCGCCCTCCCCCCCAGGGGCGCAGTTCCTCTGTCAGTACCCCTCGGAGCCTGAGGGCATCCCCGCCCCTCCTGGAATCCTGCCTGAGCTCCCTGCAAGTACCTTTCCACACGGGAAGACTGGTAAACCTCCTGCTTCTCTGGGACTGGCCTTTCCTGTCCTGGGGTTACTTGCTGCCGGTCTGAGCGTGGCTCTTCGCGGGGCCCCCTCCCTCTTGGATGCTTTTTATTTTTTCGGTCTTCCTACCTTGATAGAGGCACTAACTCTTATCACTCTAGCATTCCAGCTGTTCTCTTTAAATCTCAGGCCGAATTCCTTGTGTTCTCTTAAATAAGTAAACTCCTTTTTATTTTAAAAGTGGTTTAAAAAAAATCCACGGATGCTACATTTGTGGTGAGCGTAGTATAATGTATACAGAAACCAAATGCCTAAGTTGTACACCTGAAACTACTGTGTTAACTATACTCAAGTAGAAAAAACTTTTAACTCCATAAAACAAAACAAAAAAACAAAAAACAAAAAACAAAAAAAATGAAAAAGGAGATATAAGAACTGATATCACAGGTATATAAGTATCACAAGAGATTACTGTGAACAATATGGCAAGCAGCCATATTGAGGAAGTCTACATGGCCAAGAACAAGGAACAGCCTTGCTCTATACTGAATATTTCTGTACCCCCACCTCCAAACTCAGGTTTTAAGTCTTAGTGTTCAATGTGATAAAATTTGAGGTGGTGGCTTTTTAGTGCCCTTATAAAGGAGGTGGGAGGGAGCTCCCTTGGCCCTGTCCCTTATGAAGATGCTGGAAGAAGACAGGCACTCATGAACCAGGAAGCAGGCCCTCACTGTACACTGAATCTGTCAGTGCCTTGATTTTGGACTTCCTAGATACCAGAACTATGAGAAATACTAAGATAGTTTATCAAGATAGCTGATCCTAAGCTCAATATGCAAAGTATATTTATTTCTACAAGCTGTAAACAGGAAATGAAATTGATTTTTAAAAATAACATTTAAAATAGGATCAAAAGTATCAAATAACTGGAAATAAATCGAAAATATATCTTGGAGGACCTTTATAAGAAAATTTTTTAAACACCAAGAGTTGAGCAATTAAAATATTGTTTGGAAAACTCAGTATTACAAATGTCTCTTCCCTTCAAAATATTTATAGATTCAATGCAATCCCAATCCAAATCTTTGCATTGTACAGCTCCATAAGTTGATTATAAAAGACCTATGAAACCCTTTCCCCCTTTATCCTTTCCATTCCCAAAGATTTCAGTTTAAAAGCACAGAAACAGAAACAAGGAGTGGTGGTGTCCCAGAGTGAGGTATTGGAGCCTGGCATAGAATTGGGAAGGCATAAATGTAGGAGTGTCACCTGAACAGTGTTAGAGCTCAAGACATAGCATCCCTGAAAGGTGAGTAACTTAGAATGAGGTATCACAGACTTCACAGGGTCAGGAGGCATCCACACAGGGAAAGAACAGCCCAGCATGGGTTTTCAGAGCCTGTTAGTGTGGCACACCATCTGCTGGAGTGGCCTGGCACAGGGTATCTCAGAAAGGAGGTGTTTATATGTCTCAAAGTACCATAAAATACTAATTAATTGTAATGCAATTAATTTTTTTCTGGAGAAAAAAACTGAAGATACTACTCCAGCGATCAACATCACCAACAAGGGGACAAATCAAAACTGTAGGTCACATGATATGATGCAATAAGAAGAGCAGAGGATAGAGGACCAGTTCAGTCGTGCTCTTGCTAAAATATATAATCTGAATTTTATCATAAGGAAACATAAAAAAAACCCACACTGAAAAGACATTCTACATTACTGGAATGAACTCTTCAAAGGATTAAAAGTCACAAAAATCAAGACTAAGAAACTGTTCTAAACTGAAAGAGACTAGACACAACATCTGAATTCAATACATGGTTTTGAATAGGACGTTCCTTGCTATGAAGGATAATACAGACAAATGTCAGAGCTTTAAAAGAATATGAGGTTTGGATAATAGAGGGGATAGTTGACATAGCAATTGCACAACTGGGTATTTACCCCATAGATACAAATGTAGTGAAATGAAGGGGCACCTGCACCCCAATGTTTATAGTAGCAATGTCCACAATACCCAAACTGTGGAAGGAGCCAAGATGTCCTTCAACAGAGGAATGGATAAAGATGTGGTATGGGACCCCTGGGTGGCTCAGCGATTGAGCGTCTGCCTTTGGCTCAGGGCATGATCCTGGGATCTGGGAAGAGTCCCATGTCCGGCTCCCTGCATGGAGCCTGCTTCTCCCCCTGCCTGTGTCTCTGCCTCTCTCTTTCTCATGAGTAAATAGATGAATTCTTTTTAAAAAAAGATGTGGTATACATTCAAAATGGAATATTACTCAGACATCAGAAAGGATGAATACCTACCACTTACATCAATGGGCATGGAACTAGAGGGTATCAGGCTGAAACAAGTCAACTGGAGAAAGACAATGATCATATGGTCTCCCTCATAGGTGGAATATAAGAAATAGTGCAAGGAGGGGAAACTGAATGGGGAAAAATCAGAGAGGAAGACAAACCATGAGAGACTCAACTCCAGAAAACATACTGAAGGTTGCTGAAAGGGAAGTGAATGGGGGGATGGGGTAAATCGGTGATGGTCATGAAGGAGGGCATGTGACGTGATGAGCACTGGGTGTTACATGCAACTGATGAATTATCAAAAACTCTGTCTGAAAACGATGACCCTTCTAAATGTTGGCAACTTGAATTTAAATTTAAAAACATAATGTATACTTAACATAGTTTGAATGGGTGTACTTATATGCCAATTTTTAAAAAACACAGTACTGTAAATGTATTTTCTCTTCCTTCTGATTTTTCTTAATAACAATTTTCTCTAGCTTACTTTATAAGGAGAATATAGTATGCAATACATATAACACACAAAACTTAGGTTAATTGACTGTTTTGGTACGATAAATATTCTGGTCAACAGTAGATTAATAGTAGTTAAGTGCCTGGGGAGTCAAAAGTTCAGAGATTTTCACACAGAGGATCAGTGCCCCTAAGCTCCACATTATTCAAGGGACAATTGTATTAGTGTTGATTTTCTGATTGGCAGGGTTGTATGGTAGCTATGTGGAATGTACTGACTTGCAGGATATAGGGGCCATAGGAATTGGGCACAATTTAACAATTTACTTCCAAACCATTCTGGAGGGAAAAGGTCATTTTCTCTATTTTTTCTTTTCTCTAATTTTAAGACTCTTCTGAAAAAGTAAATTAAAAAAAAAGATAAAAAGCCTTAGGCAAATCTTTTTCACCATGAGGAAAGAGCTATGAATAATAAGTATTTAAAATTAAAATTATACACAGGTTTTATGGCACTATAAAAATTGAAATACATACAAACATTGCTGATAGCTTTAGCAGCAGTATATCAAAATGATGTGTGTCTAAATCCATATGTCTAGTAATAAAACATGGAAAATACAAAAAAAAAAAACCTATCAATTACCAGCCCCAAAACATTATTGACAACTTGGTCTGATCTACTTGGGCAGATTGGAGCCTGTAAAACTCAATAATGCTGGTTTCCATGTACAGAATATGCTTAAAAGTTAATCCGATGCCAAGAAACATAGCTTAAAATAATATATAAACTTTCATTACACATGATATAACAAAATTTCCTTTAATAAAGATTTTTTTGTACATCAGACATTTACTGGGAAACAAAATGTTATATTAAACATTTAGGTAATAAACTTTTACTATATATCTTTCAGATCATATACTTTCTATTCAAAATCTTTACATATTCTCGTGATGGTTGCAGTACTAGATCTTGATTTACATTTGATTCGTCAGTAGGTCCTAAAGGAGAGGATCTACAGAATCCTTATTCTAATTCACGAGCAACTGAAAAAGAGAAAGAATAATATTCTTTATCTGAAATACTTTGTAGTTAACTAGAAGTTAGTAAAAAAGTTGGAATCTTCTGAGTGTTAAAAGAATGAAAAATATCTACATAGAACTACAATATAAAATACAAGATTACTATTAAATCAAGTTTGCTCACGATTGCCCATTGAATTAATTACTACTGTGGATAAATACTAGAGCTTCTGGTTTTCTCATTACAAGATGAGATTGCAAGCTGATGGCACAGTCCACCCCTGAACAATCATATACTATCAACTGAAAAATCAAACAGGCAATATTTAGAGTCAAATATACCATGACAGGTTTAAAACAAGACCTTATAAGAACACACAGAAGGGACATCCTGGTTTTCTATCAATATTGTCTGCTTTTCGGTGGAGGGAATAGGTAGGCTGATACCTGAAAGATTACTCTCTGCAAAGCACAGAGAAGGCTCATCAATGTGGCAAGAACCAAATTGATTTGGGTGTTTGTATTCCATGCTAAGAAATCTGGAATTTTACCCAATGGCAAAACCAGTGGCTGGAGATTGAAATGTCACCTGTCAAGGGACAACTATATGAACTATATAATTGCTTAACTAAGTATTACTAAGACAAGTCTGGTCTGTTTGGTCTTCTACCACTAGCAGAAACAAGAATGTGAGAACGCCCACATTTGCAGATTGACAGTTTCATAGCGATGGCACAAGTGAAGGAAGATTACAGCCAAAAGTGCTAACAGGCATACAGACTGCAGATTCTTAAAAAAGGTATGAAACACGATGACCAAATGAGGAATAAGTCTGTTATTCATTATGTTTATGTTTTACATTTTTATTAGATATATCTAGACAAAATTTTAACAAGGGGAAGGGATGCCACTTACTATTTGTGGTTTATTTCAGAAATTAATGACCATCTAAATTCGTACATTTGGCAACATACCTTCTTTTAGTTCTCTGGTTATATTGTCTTCCAATTCCTGCAGCATCTGAAATAAGTGAAACGTTACTTACAATGTTCAAGTTAAACAAGAGACATTATTGTAGGAATTTTATTTTACTTATGAAACGTGGTCTGGAAATGATACTTTTAGAGAGTAAAAGTTACAATTTGCTTAAATAGAAAGATAATCACATAAATAAATCCCTACTTATTTGAATCTGGATAACTGAGAAGAAACCTATAATGCTGTTTAGAGGAGTCTAATAAAAAGTACAATTAATATTGATCAATCGAATATACAGAATTTCTGGAGGAAGAGGACGATGGTGGAGGAATAGGAGACCTTAGTTCTGTCTGGTGTCTGGGATTCAGCTACATAGGTATCAAATCATTCTGAACACCTGTGGACGCAGACAGAGATCCATGAAAAGAATTGTTGCAATTCTACAAACAGAACAGTGACCACTTTCTGCAAGGTAGGTGTGGAGAAATGAATCACAGGCATATATCAGAAGATTAAACCAGGGGGGCAGGGAGCCTCTGGAAGCCAGAAGGCAAGTCCTGGAAAGTGATATAGCAGCAGAGTGCACAACCAAAACTTTTAAGACGTCTGTTCCAGTTAGGACATCCCTGTCTGAAAGGTGCTCAGGTGGCAACGCGGGGGGCAGCATCCTAAGTGGGACGGACAGTGTGGTCTCAGGATCCCTGCGGGGGGTCACAGAGAGAATGGGGGCAGCGCCTGAGTATGGCAGTTGCTAAGGCATTTGAGCGGGGAAGCCAGTTGCAATCAGTGAGCCCAGGAGTGGGCATTCAGCTCAGTGTTGCCATAAACCCCAAACCGAGAACAGTCAGGTGATGACTCTCTAGCAAGTGGCAAAACTGGGCAAGACCTCCTCCTTCTCCCTGGAGGCACACCGTGAATGGGGGCTACAGGAGTCTGCAAAGTTTGGAAAATCGAAAAGGGGTCTGTGCTTGAGATAAAAATGCTTGGTCACAGGCTGGGTGAATACAGAGTGCAGACAGAAACCAGGGAGACACAGTAGGGAGTGAGATCTTTCTATTCCAGGGCTGGAGATTAGGAGGCCGTCATTTTCATTCTCATCCTCTAAAGCTGCCCAGAGAGGCTTCAGGGAACAAAAGCCACAGAGAGCAATCTGGAGCTGCTTACCTGGCCTGCCCCTGGCAAGGGTGGTGCAATCCCACCCTAAGCAAAGACACCTAAGAATCAGTGCAACAGGCCTCTCCCTCAGGAGGTCAGCAACAACATCCTGCCTGCTAAGACCAACTTTACTCTTCATCCAGAGCTGCAGAACTCCAGTGCTAGGGGCAAACAGTATATAGAACTCATGGCTATTTCTCATGACTCCTTAGTCTATTTTAATGTTCTTTTTGCTTTCAACCAATTTCTTCGTTTATCAACTCTTACAATTTACCTTTTTACACTTGCATTCAATCCTTTCACTGCTTTTAATATTATTCCTGTATATATTGAAGTTTTTCTTTCTGTACCATTTCAGGAAGCAGTTCCTTCTAAGAAATAGACTAAAGTACAACCAGAATCTACTATACTGCTCTATTCTCTTCATCTGTCTGATTATATTATTTTTAAAATCTGTCATTTCATATTTACAGTTACATTCTATCTCCTTTTATTGCATTTAATTTTATTTTTGCATATAATGAAGTTTTTCATTCTTTACAATTTTGGGATGTAGTTTCTTCTAAAAAACAAACCAAAATATACTTAGGATATAGTATACTGCTCTGTTCTGTTCAACTGGCTGATAATATCTTTTATTTTGACTTTTAATTCCCATTTTTACACTTACATTCTATCCATTCATTGTATTTAATTTTATTTTTGTATATATACAAGGTTTTCTCTTAACCATTTGGGGATGCAATTTCCTAACAAAAAGACCAAAATTCACATAGGATCCAGTGTACTGCTCTGCTCTCTTCATCTCTCTAATTCTATTATCTCCTTTGTTAACCTTTAAAATTGGCTTCAGGTCTCTTCTGATTTGTTTAGTGTATTTCTCTGGGGTCATTCTTGATATTTTTCTATTCTGTTCCTTCATTCATTTATTCCTCTCTGGACAGAATGACAAGATGGAAATACTGCAACAAAGAACGAGAGGTAGTACTGACTGCCCGGAACCTAATCAGCATGGATAGAAGGAAGAGGCTGGAGCGAGAGTTCAGAATAATGACCATCAAGATAATAGCTGGGCTTAAAAAACGCACAGAGGACACTAGAGAATGCCTTTCTGGAGAAATAAAACAACTGATATCTAATCAAGTTGAAATTAAAAAAAAAGGCTAATCTTAGTGAGATGCAATAAAAAATGAAGGTTCTAACTGCTAGGATAAATGAGGCTTCACAGAGAAGTAGTGATATAGAAGACAAAACAATGGAGAATAAAGAAGCTGAGGAAAAGTGAGAGAAACAACCACTGGACTGTGACAGGAGAATTTGAGAGATGAGTCGTACCACACAGCAAAACAATGTTAGAAAAATGGGGATCCCAGAGAAAGAGGGGAAGGAGGGGGCAGAAGGCATATTTGAGCAAATTATAGCAGAGATCTTCCCTCATCTGGGGAAAGAAACAGGCACTCAAGTGCCAGGAGGCACAGAGAACCTTCCTCAAAATCAATAAAAAACAGGTCAATATCTCAACATATAATAGCAAAGCTTGAAAATTTCAGACACAAAGAGAAAATCCTGAAAGCAGCTTGGAACATGAGGCCCTGAACCAAGAAGGAGAGAAATATTCAACTGGCAGCAGATCTATCCAGAGACCTAGCAGGCCAGAGAGAGCTGGCATGATATACTCAGGGTGCTCAATGAGAAGAATCTACAGCCAAGAATTTTATCCAGCAAGGCTCTCTCTCATTCAAAATACAAGGGGAGATAAAAAGCTTCCAGGACAAATAGAAACTAAAAGAATTTGTGATCCCTAAAACAGCCCTGCAAGAAGTGGTAAAGGGGAACCTTTAAGCAAACAGAGAGCCCAAAACTAACACAGACCAGAAAGGAACAGACACAGTACACCAAAACACGGACTTTACATGTAATACAATGGCACTACATCCATATCCTTCAATCGTTACTCTGAATGTAAACAAGCCAAATGCCCCAACCAAAACTCACAGGGTATCCCAGTGGATTAAAAAAAAAAAAAAAAAAAAAAAAAAGCAAGACCCTTCGATATGCTATCTGCAAGAGACTCATTTTAGACACAAAGACAACCCAGATTGAAGGTGAGGGGGTGGAAAACCATTTTGTCATATTAAAGGACATTAAAAAAAAAACTGGAGTGGCAATCTTGATATCAGACAAGTTGGATTTTAAACCAAAGACTGCATTAAGAGATGAAGACAGCTGCTATGCCATAATTAAAGGGTCTATCCAAAGAGAAAATTGAACAACTATAAGTTTTAATGCCTCTAAGGTAGGATCAGCCAACTATATAAACCAATTTTCTGTTAAGATTTAACTAATTTATTTGACACAGAGAGAGGACAGAAGCAGGGGCAGCAGGAGAGGGAGAAGCAGACTCCCCACTGAACAGGGAGCCTGATGAGGGCTTGATCCCAGGACCCTGAGAACATGACCTGACCAACGGCAAGGGCTTAACCGACTGAGCCACCCAGGCCACCTTATGAACCAATTAATAACAAAATTAAAGGAACACATTGATAGTCATACAATAATAGCAGGCACTTTAGCACACCACTCACTGTAACGGCCAGATCATCTAAGCAGAAGATCCACAAGGGCACAAGGGCTTTGAATGACACACTGCACAAAATGGACTTCACAGATAATTTCAGAGCATTCCATCCTATGGCAACAGAATACACATTCTTCTAGGGTGCACATGGAACATGTTCCACACTAGATCACGTACTGGGTCATAAATGACGTCTCAACTGATACCAAAAGATTGGGATCATTCCCTGCATACTTTCAGACCACAATGCTTTGAAACTGGAACTTGATCACAAGAGGAAATTTGGAAAGAATTCAAATACACAGAGGTTAAAGATGCCAGGGAATTAAAGCACAGTTTTAAAAACCTCACAGAAACGAACGAAAACGGAAACACAACTGCTCAAAACATCTGGATGCAGCTAAGGTCATCCTAAGAGGGAAGTATATAGCAATACAAGTCTTTCTCAAGAAACGAGAAAGGTCCTAAGTACACAACCTAACCTTACACCTAAAGGAGCTGGAAAAGAACAGAAGATTAAAACCTAAAACCAGCAGGAGAAGAGAATTCATAAAGATCAGAGCAGAAATCAATGAAATAGAAACCAAATGAAAAGTAGAACAGATCTATGATATCAGGAGCTGTTTCTCTGACAGAATTAATAAGATTGATAAACCCCTGGCCAGACATATCGAAAAGAGAACGGACCCAAAGAAATAAGATCGTGAATGAAAGAAGACAGATCACGACCAGCACCAGAGAAATACAGACAACTATAAGAACACATTCTGAGCAACTATATGCCAACAAACTAAGCAATCTGGAAGAAATGGATCCCTTCCTACCAAAACTGAAACAGGAAGACACAGGAAACCTGAACAGACCCATAACCAGCAAGGAAATGGGAGCAGTCATCAAATATCTGCCAACAAACAAGAGTCCAGGACCAGGTGGCTTCCCAGGAGAATTCTACCACACATTCCAGGAAGAATTAATCTATTCTTCAGAGCTGTTTATAAAAATTAGTAATGGAAGGGAAACCTTCCAGCGTTCTCTGTGAGGCCAGCATTACTCTGATCGCAAAACCAGACCAAGACCCCACCCAAAAGGAGAATTACACTCCAATATCCCTGATGAACACGGATGCCAAAATTCTCACCAAGACACTGGCTGGGAGGATTCAACAGTACATTAAAGGATTATTCACCATTTCCAAGTGGGTTTTATGCCTGGGCTGCAAGGGTGATTCGACATCTGCAGATGAATCAATGTGATACACTACAGTAATAAAAGAAAGGATAAGAACCATAGGATCCTCTCAACAGATGCA